ATCGTCTTAATGTGGTCCTGCCTCAACTAATCAATCCATATCAAACTGGGTTTATGCCAAATCGGTTAATCTCTGACAATGGCTGGCTAAACCAAACTTTTATGGCTAATGCTCGTAATGTAGATCCTGATCTTCCACAAGTCTCAGTTTTACTCGATCAAGAAAAAGCTTATGATAGGGTCCATCCGGAATATCTCCGCAAGGTTCTTCTTCGGTTTGGTTTTCCTTTGATATTGGTAGATTGTCTTGGTAGTCTGTTCTTTGGTACTGAGATATCTATATCCATTAATGGCTGGTTAGGTGTGCCTATTTCCCAGTCACGTGGTCTTCGACAAGGTGACCCTCTTTCGCCGCTCTTGTTTAACTTGGCCTTTGAACCTCTCCTTAGGTCAATTTTGTGTTGTGCTGATCTTTCTGGTGTTTCTCTGCGTAGTGGTATAGCTGGGTCGAGTTCCTCTCCGTTGGTGCGTCCGGTATGGCTGGATACTCCTTCATCCTCCGATCGCGATTTTATTAGCCAATCTGTGTTGAATCCACCTCCCCGGCTTAAGCTTTTGAGTTATGCTGATGACTTAGAGGTTTTCCTTTCTGGTCCTCGTGAATGGGATATCCTGTTGGATCTTCTTCGATCTTATGGATCTGCTTCTAATGCCAAAGTTAATCTTGACAAAACTGTCGTCCTATCTTTGTCGGGTGTTCGGCATGCTTGTTGGGTAGACATCACTAATTCCGCCAAAGTCGAATGGCATGATTCCTCTTCTGTGGGTTCGGTCCGGTATTTAGGCTATCCTCTATATCATACAACGAGTCAGTTGGAATCATTTTTGGAAGATATTCGGGTCAAGATACTTCGGCACACACAAATGCTTCGTGGTAGGCCCCTCTCTTTGCGTGGTTCTGGCCTGGTAGCTAATTCTCTGCTCCTTAGTCGTCTCTGGCATCTTCTTCGAGTGGTTCCTATACCAACTAAGTGGCTTGACTCGGTTAAGTCTATTGTTCGTGGCTACGTCTTACCTTTCTGGCCTAGGCCTGCAATGTCTACTCTGACTTTACCTCGTAAATTTGGTGGTGTTGGCCTTGTTGACATTCATGATCAAAGCTTTAGTCTTCATCACATATATGTGCAACGATTAGTGTCAGGTCCCACTCCAACCGACATTGTCTCTCCCTGGATAGTTCGATGCTTCCAAATATACTCTGGTCACTCCTCTATTTTACCATGGTTCATGTTTCCCACCAAGTTTAAGTCAAGTCTGCAACCTATTCCAGCTATGACTCATCTTTCTGGTTTACTGGCAAAATTACCGACACTGGAACTCTCTTCTACTTGGTGCTCCCGCTGGTACTAGGATCTTCCATTGCAATGTGTTATTTCTGTATCCACGGCCGTCAATGGTCGGGCTCCCACCTTAGTTCCATCAAGTATTCCACTTCGGTATCTGATATCTGATATCTACTCTTGGGATCAAGAAGAAGGTAGTCTGGTTCATAATCACGCGTCTACCAAGCCAAAGGTTCGTGAAACTATTCGGGCCTTGTTCCCCCTTGAAGGTTGGTTTGCTGCGACTGGCTTTTTGCCGAATGCCATGCTTCCTCAGGCCCAGCGTGATCTTCTAACGCCTAGTTGGTTACCTGACCTCTCCAAATGGTGTGTGCCAAATGGTCCCTGGAACTTTAGTACTGTCGCTGGTACCCTCCCACGTGAGATTCGGTGGTTTTGGCATCAGGATCGTTCAAAGTTTGATTATCCTCCTAAGGTCCCGGAGATTGTACCAACACGATGCTTGCTGAAACCTGGTTTGTGGCGTCGTTTCTGGACTCTTAATTTGACCAGTAAGGCTTTTACACCTTGGTGGCGGTTACTACAAGACTGTATTGGATATCGCGCGAAGCTACATAGATGGTCTCCTTTGAAGTTTCCTAGTGCTACCTGCCCTATATGCCTAGTGTCTTCTTCAGAAGATCTTTTTCACTTTGTAGTCGGCTGTTTTGATAAATGACAATTTTGGTGCAACGTCATTTCGCTTCTTGAAATAGGTGACGACTTTCAAAACGAATACGACGTCTGGTCTGGCATGGTTTCTCGTTGTTCTATTAAGTCCAAACGTCTAAAGCCTGATATTCTGGTTCTATTAGGTTCAGCTTTTAGTACACTTTGGAAATACCATTGGCAGTGTGTTATGGAAGATGGCCTATGGAGCTCTCACGCGGCTTTTAACATGTTCCAACAAGACCATTCTGTTCTTATTGCTTCGACCTTGGCAAAGTCAACAGTTCCAAAGATTAGTTTAGTCACGCCTTCGGGCTAATTTATAATTTGTACATAATTTAATAAACTTACAGTTCATACAAAAAAAAAAAAATAAGTTTAATGTTATTCTAATTCAAGTCTCAGTGGTTAATTAGAATGGCAAAGTAGTAAAGAAGTATTTAATATTCAAATAGAGGATAATGGTTTATTGTTCTAATGTTAAGGGATATATATACTAAATGTAAAGATATAGGTGATGTGAAAAATATAATAATAACTATGATGATGATGATGATAATGATAATTATTATGAATAATATAAACAGGTTATCGATATGAAATAGGTGAACCCGAAGTGGTGTTATTCAGCTTTGACCTTTTCCGATTCATATGATTATTCTTGAGTGGTACAAATCGTCTTTTCTGGATCTTGGTCTTCTTGAGCCTAAGTTTGCTTTCTAGAGGCATGTCTACGTCAATGTCCGGACTTCGGGTCGGACTAACCGGCTGGTCACGTGAATCTTTGAGACATCTGATCCATCGACATTTACAGACTTGACATAACTATCAGTCTTGTAATAGGTTAAGTAGTGTATGTAAGATTCAACTCTCAGTTGTTAATCAGTAAGTAAGTAAGCAAGTACTTGAAATTATGAAATAGAAGATAATGTTTTTTTGATACAAGCTAGGAGCTATTTATACTAGTTTGGGGAATATAAGAATGTGATAATAATGTGATAACATAATGTTGATATGTATGGTGATAATATAATAAAAGTATGGTGATAGATATAAAGATTGATTGTGATAAATATAAGTAATCAGGTTATTGAATGTAGAAGTAGTGTTGTGATATTTATAATAAAGTGGTGTTACTTCTTTGGCCGTTTTCTATTGGCATTGGTTATCTTGGGTACAAACTTCCTTTTTAGAAGTTTAGCTTTCTTTAATCGTAATTCGATCTCCAGAGGCATTTCAACATCCATGGTAGAGTCCGGGTCGGGTACAAGAGTCCGGGTCGGAATGTGGCTTAGAGAAGTATCAGAACCATCGACAATTGTGGGCTTGACATATATCAGTCTTGTAACAGGTTTAATAGGGTTAAGATTCAACTCTCAGTGGTTAATCAGTTAATAAGTAGATATATACTTTAATATATAAAATAGAAGATAAAGTTTATTTGATACCAAGCTAGGAGCTATTTATACTAGTTTGGGGAATATATAGAATGTGATAATAATGTGATAATATGATGTTGGTATGTATGGTGATAATATAATAAAAGTATGGTGATAGATATAAAGATTGATTGTGATAAATATAAGTAATCAGGTTATTGAATGTAGAAGTAGTGTTGTGATATTTATAATAAAGTGGTGTTACTTCTTTGGCCGTTTTCTATTGGCATTGGTTATCTTGGGTACAAACTTCCTTTTTAGAAGTTTAGCTTTCTTTAATCGTAATTCGATCTCCAGAGGCATTTCAACGTCCATGGTAGAGTCCGGGTCGGGTTCAAGAGTCCGGGTCGGAATGTGGCTTAGAAAAGCATCAGAACCATTAACAATTGTGGGCTTGACATAAACAACTTGGTTTCATAGTGTAATGGTTATCATATCGGTCTTTGAATCCGGTGATCCGAGTTCGATTCTCGGTGAGACCTTTTTTTCATTTTTCGATCACGCCCAAGGATTTTTTTTTGATTTTCCGAAGCGATGTTACAATGCGGATTTCCCACAGCTATATTTTGACTTCAAACCTAAAATTTATACTCAACCGAATTTATTATCTATTAAGCTAACTCTTAGCATTGTGTTGCAATAGCTTATAACCTTTTCCTTTTCTATTTTAAATTCATTAGTTATTATATCATTAGTTATCTATTATCCATTTGTTCAAGGGTATCCTTACCGATCCTTGCGACAACATACAACTATATAAACCAATAAAAACATTATACTTAAATAAACTATTCCGCTTTTTATCTATATTTATCTTATAAACTCTTACCATATCTTGCCTGTCAATACTTAAATCTAACATCCCATTTATTCTATTTATCTTTACTGGTTCGTTACCATATATATCTTTCAAGTATTTATATAAAATAACGTGGTGCTCACTTAAGAACTGAAATATAAATCATTATTTATATTCTTGCTCTATCTAACTCCTAACCTCTGCCAATAAAATTATCGCAATCACTATCCAGATTGTATCAGCGATTTGGCGGTTGTCCATGTCAGAGTAATTTTAATATATGTGCTTATGTAAAGTTAAATATATTAAGTGAAAGATGATCTTTATTGAATTATAGTTTTGTGAAATGGTTATATCTAAATTGAAGTTGTACGGAGTTTAGTATAAAATTATATCTGACATCCGTTTCTCCTTCCTCTTTTAGACAACTGGGAGGATTGGGGGTACCGTTGATGGGGGGTCTGTGGATATTTGGGGGTTCATCATTAAAAATTGGGTTTGAATGCAAAATGAATTTTTGGTAAAAATGGTTTGGCTTTTATTGGTTTAAAATATTATATATTGCTAGCAAAATTTGACACTAAACTAGCGCTTATAACGTAAAGCATGGCCCCTGTCGGTCTCAATGTGAGTCTCAAGTAACTTCTGATCAAAAGAAAGTTGTTTTTATTAAAATATATTTTTGACTACTTTAAGTAGCATAAACTATAATCATGTGACCTGAGCTTTAACACCCCTATCCTAAATTACGGCCTGACACCCCAGCAGTATATTAACGCTGCGCAATTTTGCACATGCTTGATACGTTTTTATTTACGCGTTGAAGCATAGTACTTCGGATACCAGAGAAAGTTACGATGGAGGGACTTACCTAGATAATTATGTCAGTTTCTGCTTTTATTCGCGTAATAAATTTTACATACCTTTAGTTTCAAATGATATCGATAGTAGTGGTAGAGCTGGGAACTATATAGCAATGATTTAGATACTGATGCCTTTTCAATTTGGTATTGTTAAGTACTTACTTTTATATAGATTTTTTGCGCCTTGACTAGTAGAGAATGTGTTAGAAATAACCAATATGGAACATGTATTTGCTTTACCTCTATTCAAAACAACCATCAATGTATGATCACCTCAAGAATCTTGGGTAGTAAAAGCTAAACGTTCCAGTCAGTATGGACATTAAAAAATATTCTTTTTACTTTACCTTTGTAATAAACGAAATAAAACTGAAAGAAAGAGAAAAAAAAAGGACGATGTAAAATGACAGGCTAATATAGTGCCAGAATTTAAGTCCGTCATGACATACTTCCGGGTATAAATACAGCCTACCATCTGGCGTTTTTTTTAGCTCTCCTACTACTTCTCATTTTTAAAAGTAAAACATGAACAGCAACCATTTACCTCAAACAGGTGTTATCAATTTAAGACCAAGCAATAACAGACACCACCGCGGATTTTTTAGTGGATTATAAGTAAATTTTTGTATCCTCATGATCTGATTGGCTGAAAAATAAAAAAATAGAAAATAATAAAAAAGCTAAAAATACAATGGTCGTGTACAACTAGAATGCTCATAAATAGGCGTGTTTGTTGCACGAAATCCCTGTCTTTGAAATATTTAGATGTTCTTTACTTAGGCTGTGTCAGGAGCATAGTTGTGTTAAATTTATATGGGTTCATAATCTTGTTTCCATTGACATCTTTGTTGAACATATCAAGAGCACCCTTTGGAATAAGTTTATCTGCCCAATTTTGATAAACCCATCACTTGTGCAGCTAATCGGCTGTCTGGTTCTACCAGTAACATCAGGTTGAAATCGCTACAAAGTAACCAATTTACCATTACTTTTGGTGATCTCACCTACAAATACTGATGTGTTGTTATCTATGCAGACAGAAAACAAATCACAAACACCCATTGAAAAGGTCTTTACCCCCGAGTAGTTGTTATCGGCAACCTCACGGGAGCTACCAAACATTTCCAACAAAAAGTCATCACCTGCCATATCAATATATTTTTTGAGCTTCGAGCCGTACCGGACCCTCTTTATATCTTTGCTCACCCAAGACCCTCCATCGACAATATGTCTAAGTAACTCTTGCTTACCAAATTTTAGCGCAAGGCTTTTGGACGTATCTTTTCTGTTGGTGTGGGATAGATGTTCACGTAAAAACGTGTTGAATTGCTCACCTTTTTCTGTTTCATAATGTAAAGCGCACCCAAAATTGATCAGATCATCACGAAGATGATGCAAGAAGTGCATCGTAGGTTTACATGGATATGGCGTGGGGTTTGAGATTGCAAGATTAAAAGCATGGATTCTCTTCTTTAAATCCTGTATGACTTCATGCACATCATTCACATACTTATTAAACCCCATGTGCACACGACGGACAAAAACTAATGAGCACAGCTCACCCAACTTGCTCAACGGCTTGTTAAATTCCACGATTTCAGCATCACGAACTGGATCGGCAAATAATTGAGAAATGATCAATGGCAGAATTAGGAGCAATTGTTTATAATCTAGGCCAAGAAACGATCCACAATGTTTGAGCTGTCTTGAGAAATTACGGCTGTAATTTTTGCAGAATTCATAGCGTTACACTGCAGTTATCAAGATCCCCATGGCCGATTTGTTCTTGAAAAGTGTAACCTTTATCAAATGGTTTACGAGATACTTACGAACACCAAGCAAAGTTGTGCGAAGAATTTCTACTTGGTGTATCTTCTGCAGGATAATAACTGGCCAATTGTAGTAATCTGTCACTCCCACCAAGATTTCGATAGCTCACAAGCTTTGCTGCAAAAAGGAATTCTACAGCATTGGTGATAACTGCATTGGGATCCAAAGCGAGAACATAGTCGCCTTTGGTTCTAACATTATATTTGGCGAGTAACTGTTCAGGAGTGACTGCGTAAATCTCGTTTTTGCGCTTTTTAATGTTACGGAAGTAACATTTTCTACACGGAAAAACTTTTGTCATCCCAAGTATGCCACAGATGTCTGAATGTGCTGGGTTATTGGCCATAATGAACATTAATGGCGCAGTTACTAGAACCATTTCATTTTCTTCTGCTGAATACATTAGTACACCCTTCTCAAGTATCTTTAAGTCATCAACAATGAAAGGAATAATACTTAAGGCATTAATTCCATCTGTCTTGGGCACCGTCCAAATGAAGCAGGTGTTTTCCCATTTCCATCTGTCTTCAAAAGGCAATCCAGCAAAGCTCATAGACCAACTTTCGTACGGATTGTGCTGCTTTGACATATTTCCTGAATAGTCATCAGAAAATAAAGTAATTGGCGTTACCTTGACTTTATAATACTGATTCTGAACAACGTTTCCATTGCTGTCACACTTGTTACGTTTCAAAGGAGATTTGCTAAGAACTAAAGATTCATGCAAATAATCCAGTCCTTGACCATCACCATCCAAAGAAAAGCATTTGCTACCGCATACATTGGATTCGTAATGTCCTCCTAATTGACCAAGGGAATCTCCATGGTAATTGTTGAAATTCCAAAGCAATCGTCTTGCTCAAAAACACGGTAGCCTGCAGCGAGTCGAATTTGATTCTTTGTGTGAAACGACTTGACCAAGAAAAGGTATTTACTTCTCAAGTAGGCAAAGTCTCCAACCCAGTAATCTTTTCCCATTTCAGTTACCATAGGGTGTTGGAATGAAGGGTTTTCTTTCCACTTTTTATCTTGATGAAGATTAAGCGATTGATCAGGTGTATGATCGGGAAGCTTGGTAATTTTACTGGCCTTCGTTGGCTTCGACGTTGCTAGTCTGATATGCTCAGAAGGCAGATTCAAGAAGACTTTTTTTTCGACCATTTCATCTTTATTTTGGTGCTTATTAAAGGCTTTGACAGTGGTAGTTTTTGTATCCGTTTTAAAAACATGGATATTATTGCCTTTGCGAGATTGATAATTCCAAAGATTGTCCAGAGCCGGAAGTTCGAAACTTCTGTTCTCTTCTACAGCATTATCTTTCAATTTGAGCAACAAGTTCTTGGTGTAAAGCATTTTCTTTAATTGTCTTCTGGATAACTGGTCGTCGTCTCCATTTACAAGAGCTTGCAAAACAAAATTTTGGGTAGTGTTGAAAGGATAGTTTGATTCAACGAAGTTGTTCCATTCAACACCAGAGGAGGCCTCCCAAATGGGTACCATACCATTAAATGTATTAATATCATTGGTTGCATCTTCAGTATTAGCTTCGTTTTGAACTGCACTAAATCTTCCAACAAAAAATTCGGCAGCAGTGTTGTCGAGTGTGCTTTAATTGACTTGCTCTCTTTCTGACTCTGATTCATCATCAGAATTATTATCATCGTTTTCACTAGAAATTTCAATATCTTCCTCGTTATACTGATCCTCAATACTGTTCAATAACAGATCTTCGGATACTTGAATGTTTTCATCTGATAAATCAACAATTGATTCGGGGTCCTTATCTTCAGAAATGAAAATGTTACTGGGAGTCATAGGAGTGACGTTTGCTAACAGTGCTTTTTGGTGACCAGTAGTACGACAGTGACGCTTGATGTTCTGTGAAACTATTGTTTATTGGCATTCAGCACAATAAATTGTTTGGCGAGCCTTTTCAGTTTTTTTGATTCCACGGAATTTATGTTCGAACATCTTGAATTAAGAAAAAGGAACAGCTTCTCTTTTTGGCCTTTGACCTTTCAAATACTCTTAATGGTGACTGTTTTTGGCATAAAGGTAAAATTTTTTTATCAATTTTTCTTCAATAACCTTCATTCGTTTTTTTTTTTTTACATTGATTGAACTTATTACGAGGTATTTAGAGCAACTACTGCTACCGAATATATAGATTAACATTTTCATAGCTTCCGATCAATATTATAAGAATGTCAGGAGAATAGTAAGACAATACATGTCCCTTTATAAAGTCCAATGTCGTTTCACCCGTATAGACCATAACCTGCAATTAACTGGTAAATATGAATAACTTATCTAAGTAATGTGTTATCTTATTGTTATTTAACACTATAGAGAATCACGTTCGTGTTCGGCCCATGACCAAATGATTTATAAGGTATTTTATGACATGTAATCGCTCAAAGTGAAAATTTTCTAATATAAATTTGATTACTGTAGACAAGCAAGATAACATAACCATCGTAGAGGTATGTAAGATAATATAATCGTTTGTCATGATCGCTTATCTCTCCTATTTGTTTTATAGATCATTCAATTTGGCCATATACGTTACCGTCTGGATTATGTAATCCAATTCCAGTGTTTTTCTTAGTGGGATGTAAGCCGTACTGCTTGGTTCTGCAACCGTCTGTCTGCCTGGTCAAAGCTTGTATAGTTTTTATTTGCCAATCAATGTACCAGTCATTATATCTGGTTTCTGAATCTATCAAATGGCACATTTGGTGTCTGGCTGCCCAACTGGTTAGGATAGTCCCCGTTTGCCTAGTATCCGAGCTGGTAGCATCCTGGAAAACCCAGCTACCTACCGATACTGCCATACGAGCGGGTAGCAACCTGGAGAACCCGGCTACCTGCCAATACTAGCACTGAAATTCTAGTATTTTATTTTTAAAAATAAACCGTTACACTATAATTCTTTATAAGGCAATTTTTTCATCCTCCCTTACACAAACGCTCAAATTAAGAAATTTTACTCATCACTGAAAAAATCTGCGGTGGTGGATCAGATATTACTTGTCCTTGGTGTCCTGAAGATATAAGACAAATTTCTTCGACTGCTTTTGCGAAGCACGCTTCTAGAAAACACTCAAATGAATTAGGATCCGATACGTATTGCAAATTTCGCGACTTGCGACAAACCAGAAGGTAATATATACTTACTAATTTGCGTATCCCGTAACTAACCCCTAAATATTGAACAGAGCTGGTCGGTTTTCTACGGAAGATGCTAAATCTATTTCAATCAACTCTAGTTTGTTATTTGGAAGTAATGAATTAGTGGCACACTACTACACTGTTAATCCCAACGCTAATGAGGATTCAGACGATAAAATTTTTGATGAAAGTCCTCCTGCAGAACGAGAAAATCTTGACATGTAAGTTAACAGATTTATGTATATATACATGTGACTTACAGAACCACATTTGTATTTGACTATTTCATGGGACAATGATAATTCTTTGAACGATATCACCGAGAGTTACATGATGAACACGATCCTACCCACTTCTCGTAATTTTGAGCAACAATCTGGAGGCTCGCCATCTGAAACGGCTCAAGAAGATCTAGATAAGATTGAACTATGCGAGAAGTCATATGAAACAGAGGGATCATCTACCTGATATGCCTAATCTATTTATGTCTACTGTAGAAGGTCTTCTTCATGCGTTTTGTTATGGTGATGAAGATCTTTGTTCTGAAAGGATGGTGAAGCAGATTGTTTATCTCTTGAAAAATTTGTTGAAGTTGCAAGAAGCGTCGGCGACCACCTTGGTGCTTCCAAAGCCTGACAGGATCTACAACTTACACAAAAGGCTGAAGACAAAGGTCCCAGTTTTCGAGCCAGTAGAGCATGGGGCAAAGAACAAGAAGGGTGAATTGAAGTCCTTTTTCATGAACACGCCCTCCGAGTTTCTGAAGCACTTGGCTGCAACACCAAATATGATCAAGGAGATGCCGAATTTGCCTGATGTTACGGTAGACCGATGCATTAATCTAAATCATGGTGAAAAATGGAGAGACCATTGTTGTGATCGAGATTATATACAGATATAACTCTATCATCAATTCTTTCTTTCTTATTTGATAACCTTTCTATAAATCATTATTGCATTACTCTTTAAATCAAATACATGGTATTACACTCTATTTACTATGCATCGATTACTCATCAACATATAGAAAACAATAGTCATACATTTATTCAAGATAATACAATCCAATAATATGATCGCTCGTCAATAACAAGATTCTCGAAGGTACCATGAGATGCTCGATCTTTAATTGACAATACGCCTATTGTATATTTGACAGGTTTCACTTTGATGATTGATATTCAGCCAGTCCTGAATATGTATATAAAGAACCCAAATTATTGTAGAATAGAGTTTTTAGTTTATTTTTGCAGTTTGATAATTTTACTTCGTCAAATTTCTTTATTTTTATTCTTAATTCGTAGTTTTATTTCTCGAATTTCTCAACCATCAATAATTTCAAACATCAATGCTTACCAATGGCAGTAAAGATTTTTGGGTTGGCGACCTTATCAAGGATACATGTGATGGCTACTGGCTGATCAAGAAATATTTTTCTGCGGGAGAAACAATTACAGAAGAAGACCATTCAGTAAAGCGTGTCTTTGCTGAGGCAGTTCCAGTAATCTGTAACGAATTCGGTAAAAGTGGTGATATGCCATTGTTGCCTGGTGCGAACACCAACTTTGATTTTGTCAATTCAACTGTTATGCTCCCTTTGAATGATATTGTTGCCACTGTTCCTAAGGATCCCAACTTACAAGGGTCAGGCTGCACTGTCAAATACAATCAAGGCCGTTTTGATCTGATTCGTTATGGCATTGATGATGAACTATCTCGCCTCTGGTTCGACACAAACTTCGCCAACCGTTATAAGCGTCTTGTCCCTGGCTCTCCACTCAACAGCCCAAACTTTCTGAAGGTCGTTGTTGCTCCTATCATTCTTTGGTCTGATGACACATCTGGTAACAAGTCGAAGCAATATAATGTTTTTGACAGTTATTTGATGTACCTTGGTGCTTGTCTGTTGAGAAGCGAAGCCGTAAGGAAAATACCATGTTCATTTGTACATCAAACAAGAACCTGCAAGCGGTGGATATGTTGGGTGCAATTGTGGATGATCTGTCCAAACTCGAACAAGGAATTGAAGTGTATTCTTATGATCACCAAGAATATATCCTTCTCGTCGCTCATTTGCTTTTGTTTATGGCGGGCAACCCTCGACACTCAAATTAGCTATACATAAAGGTACCAGCTCCAATTTTCCCTGTCGCAAATGTCTCCGACCAAAAGCAACAAACCTGTCAGACATTCTTCGCTCTGATCCGGACACCTTGGAGCCTTACATGTTACACAGGTATGATGGAAGAACATTAGCACAATTGAAGGATGTACTTCGGTGTCAAGAAGAAGACAAGCCCAGATACAAAACCTACACTGATATTTTCTGTTTTTCTCAAAATGGTAGTGAAGAGTTTCTACGCCTGCAGTAGTTCGACCCCACATTGGATTGTCCTGTCGAAGTACTTCGTACTGTTCCTCTTGGGTGTATCAAATACCTTGTAGATTATTTGATTAAGCCGATACTATCCGTTGCAAAGCGAGAGCGTCTTGGTAATGCTATTTCGAATAGACGAAACAACCAGGCATACTCCAGAACATTTATAAACAATCTTCGCCATTATGGTTCATTTGTTGGAAGAGATTACAAGCAATTGATTCAAGTACTGTCTATCATTATGCGCAAGGTATTTCCAAATCCAAACACGCTTCTGAAGCTTTCTACGCAAGCATTTGCAAGTCTTGGTCAGTTATGCTCTTTGATCTATACGCGAAACGTTGATTGGCGATTTGAAGAATACAAAAAAAATGTTGAGTAATGCTACTATAGTCTTCACTAATGACCTGAACTGTTTAGATGATTACCTGGTCAAGAACAGAGATAATGCACCCATGTTTTCTTTGAGACCAAAGGTGCATATGTTGCATCATTTACTGGACAACATCAAACGGTTTGGATGCCATCTTCAATACGAGACTTAAAGTTCTGAACAGTTCAACAAGTTTATCCGTGAGCATCTTTTCATGACGAATAGATTATATACGTCTCGCGTTGTTGCATTTCGTTTTGGAAAACAATTTATCTGTCGTCAGGTATTTAGTGGGCTTTCGTATCTTTAGATCAAGCGATGGAAAGAGAACGGCATTTCACGTCATTGTTTATTTCGTGGTGAAACTAGTTCCTCCATCAAAGCCCTGATAAACAATAATCCGGATTTCAAGAAGCATTTCTTTGGTGCTAGAGAGAACGTTTCTGACAGCTACTATATTTTGAAGTCAAAGATGGTCGCCAACCTGTCAGGTCTGTTCGAGACTAACAGTGGCTTGATGTTAGGTCAAATTGAAACTGATGACGATGGCGATTTGATCCTACGTCGATACAAATTTGCACACAACGTTGCTGGTTCTTCTTCTTCTTGGTTGCCAGGTACACTGTCGGATGCAGAGGCTAATGTCTTCATTAGACCTCATTCTACTGTTGCTGTCGATGATTCCTTTTCGTGTAAAGAAGTAATGGACATAAGCTTCGTCTTTGATGCAGCTGCTGACATTCGTGTCATTAATGTGTCTAAGTTCGGCTCTTTCTGGTCTGTCGTTTGCAATCATGCCTCCATATAAAAAACACATGTAATTTTTTTTGAAAAATAAAATGCTTTTGACGCGGGTTAAAAATGCCACGGACGTAATTGGCTACATCGCTTGATCCCCCCACGAAAAAAAAAAATGGACTAAAATTTTTTAAGTTTACGGTTGATATCTATTCCGAGGCTCTAGGCCAATAACACATATTAAAAAAAATCTGTCCTTAATCCATTCCTTAAAGGGAAAAAAAAACAGTGCGAGTGTAAGCAGCTATTCATGAAAACGGCTAGATGCTAAAACCACTACTGCTGCGGATCTAATAATAAAAATAATATACCAATTACGCATTTGTAAACTCAAAAAAAATTAAGGGGGGGAAGATAAAATTAGTAACAAGCTTATGAGATTTGTTTAACGATAACCGCTTATTTACGAGAATATCGTAGGGCTTAACAACTTTTATTTTCTTTCTGTGATTAAAACCCATTTGTGTGTTCATAGGGTATACTAAAATAACTTAAACCCATTTTCTGATTTTGAAGAGAACATTACCAGCTTACTGTGCTTCCACCTGCTTTTTTGAAGTTAGATTGCTTAGAAAAAAAAACTTGATTCGCCCTACTTTTTATAAATTGAATGGCCAAACGTATGTTAGAACCAATGTTTTAAAAAGCGTTTATTAATGCCTCTAGGAAACAAACATTGGTAGAGTGCTGTATAAAATTTTGTGGATGTTCAATAGAATTATCATTGCAATGGGGGTTATCAAATTTGTCTGTTTGACGATCAATTCCTAAAAAGGCATGACTTAACTCGATTTTGATTACAGGCATCTTTTTAATTTTTCACTTTCTGATTAATGACGTTTACAGCTTTGGTCGTTTCAAAAGGTTCCACGAGCTTTTCTTGAAAAAAAGGCAAGTAGCAAAATTGCTCTTGGTCCGTGTAGTAGTTGTTAATCATTGTGTGTGTTTTTTTCCTAGAGTCTGTCTGTCAAATGCCATGGGTTCATCTTTTAGAGATAACGTTTTTATTTTCTATCTAATTCTACGTTGTCATACGAAATGAAGGTTCTACCATAAAAATAGATGTTTTTTCTCTAGATGCATCTACGCTCTACCTCTACCACCTTCTTAAAACTATCCTCGTCAAGTAAATAGATTTTACAAAAAAATTTGGAAAAGCTGGTTGTACAATTTGTAAAAAGCAGGTGACGTTTTTCAAAAATTGGGGAAAAATATTTGTTTCCGATAACAACGCAATTTTTTAATGTAGTGTGGGGAGGTGTTCCCTTAGAATCTAAAAGCCAACGTGGGTTTTGATTATGTCAAAACCCTTGGGGAATTGAGTTTTAATTAAAAGAAGGTAACAAAAGATTGTAAGCCCAACCAGTTTCACGTAGGTTAGAAGGAGCTTTACTTGAGCTTGTTACCAATTTTATACCCCTCCACTTTTTTAATGTGTGTACGCAAAAGCGTTATGGGTATATAATGTTTACAATTAGGATCCGCTTATTGCGTTTTTAGCGCCTGCACCTTTTTCATGTATCTGTACGAAGTTAAAGTCCTCATTTCTTTCTTTTAAATGAATTCATTATTGATGTGAAACCGTACATCGCACACCTGAAAAACTAAATATAACCAAGAAAAAAAAAACACACAAAAACTGACGCAGGTACAGCCATTTTTAAATTTCTCAAAATACAACTGCGATAGAACGTTTGAACAGAAAATCCGCCAAGACTTTCGTTCAGGAACAGCCAAAGTACGCTTAATCATAGCCTAAGACGTGTTTTTGTGGCTGTGTCTAAAAGCTGCATAATATTCAAACATTTTTGAGCGGCTCCGTATACACCATTTGAGGTATACCATATACAACACTTTCTCTTATATACTACCTACCGGAACGTGTAAGACATTCACTGTTGAGATAAGGCATTTAAAAGTATTTTTCATCCCCTTAAACCTCGTCGCCAAACGTTTCACTTTTGTGTTTGTGATCCTTTTTATATTCTGCTCAGTACGCTATTAACAAGTAAGACGCAACTTTTTTATTTGTTGCCATTACTACCCAAAAGATTATTTTTCTTATAGCCTTTTTAAACGTTCATTCGCGATAGGTTGAGTTTAGAAAGAGAAAATCCTCATTTTCGGCGGTTTTTATTTGTTGTAATAGGTACAATTACATTTGGAAATGTTCTTTTGACCTTGATGATTACTGTGTTAATGTTGGTTTGGGGGTAAAGCTTTAAATAGATTGGTAATGAACTCTTTGGTAGCATTTGTTTGCAATGATAGCTAAGGAGCGGACACTTTCAAAAGTTTCAGGTCAATATTTATTTGTTTATTTTTGCATGGTTGAAGGCGCATAAGGGACAACCACTACAGCATGTGATCTCCTAGGCACAGCCAAAAAAAGTATCGAATCTTAGGCTGTGACTATGGCACAACATCTAACCGGAGGTAGACCGTCTACTTTTGGAAAGATTCTTTTTTTTTTAGTAAAATAAGGATAACAACATCAATCAAAATAGCCTTAAAGGCAATTTTTGTTCGCTGGAGTTTTTAAAAGAGACTTGGTGTGCTCATTATAGAACGTGTATGGAAAGCTTCACAATGTTGACCTTATCATTACTTGGTCATTCATAAAAGAGAATTCCGTAAGAGGAAATAAATCTACAAAACACGAAAATAATTACCGCATCGTAGATCCTTATGAATGTGATTTTAAATGCCTTGTCCTTTTTGCCAAAGGGCTAACTGACCTCTTGTCAAATTAACTTGTATAAATAACAGCAGCTGCCTTACCTGGATTCAATTATTAAATCTTTTAAGGTTACAGTTGAAAGTTCCTCTCGTGTCCAACTCAGATTCAGTGAATCAAACAAACAAGAGAAAACAAAACAAACACATTCTTTGTTTTTTATATACTAATTTATTGCTGTTGTCATTTTTCTATATTTCACCCCCCCCAACTCAATTTACAATCAAAACAATTACACACTTTTATCCAACACTACTTTTGTATCCTTTCCTGCCATTATGAAGTACATTTACCGTAGACGTACGTCTTTTGTTTTCATTCGTACCGCATTACTTTTTTAACACGTTATTTTCCTATTCTTATCATCCTCGTATCATCAAGTCGAAATATACCTTTATTTGTTGGAATAGCACACCGTTATCCACGAAATATTGGTTTTTGTATGCGTTGTAATCTTCGGTCCTCTCGTGCTCTACATGCCCTCTCGTGTAAATCCGCTGCTTTTTATTGTATTTGCTGCATGTTTAAACTCACCAATATGTTTTGACCTTGACCTCTCCAGGTCTCCTTTGGCAATTAGACCTATTGTACTGCTTATTTTAAATAAATACGTCGTAAAACGGATATCGACGTTGAATTTTTTCATGATCCTCAATAACAATTCATCTTCTTCTGCATCGTCTAGAGACTGACGCTAACATTGGCCTATAACTCCAATATGTTGCTTGGGATCCTTTACCAAAAGTGATGGTTTTATTATAAGAACTTGTTGTCGATTTGCTGCAGTTATGAGCTTTTTGATCTCAAGGTCAAGTAGCCAAACTTATATCAAAGTATAGGATAAATACCTAATAAACGGCGGAAAGTGTTTTAAAATTTGAGAAGCTAAAAATGAAGTTAGAACAAAAAGGATTGCGAACACCCATACAAATATATTTACCTGTTTAATCTAGTTTTCAAAGATGGCATGACGTTGGACATCTTTCCTACAATGTTTCTTGTGAGAATATGAGAAAATAAAATACGTGCGGGGTTTTTTTTGTTGGCGGTTAAATAGACAAGTCACAAAAGGACATCAGGCAGTCTTCAAATATTATTTTCCGCTTTTGCAAAACCTTTGTTATACGCAGAAACGGCGAACATAGAAGGACTTGGTGGCGTTAAACTCTTGACTGTCTACCATAAAGGCGAAAACTGTTAATTTACACCAACGTCGTTCTGAACAAGATCTGGCTTACTCTCTTGCGATGATGGTCATTCCTTAGCTGTTTCTTTTTGGTTGGTGTACAAAAATAGAAGGAAAAGCAGCGTTGAAATTTCAACCCCTGGCACTCCTTATGCTGTGACCGATAAAGGCACTCGTTCGACGTTATGACCTGAAAACGCTTCAGTTACACCTCATGTCGTATATTCCACCTCTTCCATGTTTGGAAAAGAAAATTTTGGAAACTGGTTTCTAATCATTCAACAAGCTTAAATCCAACAAAAGGCAAACCAACACGCGAAATAAATGATCCAGTACCTTTTCCGTTTCTATGGATAACAATGTCGATCAATAATTATGTGTTAAATGGACGTAATTTTTCCCTCTCTTTTAATTATTAAATTACTTCACCACGCATAATGGGCAGTGACCAAAAATCAGAGAAGGCATACATCGGCACTGGATAAACTGCTACAGCTTATTTACATAATCAAGGCACAGAAGGATATAAAGGGGTTCAAATCAAATCAAGATGGAGTTCTTGCATAACGTTTGGTTGCAGCATCATCACGATCAAGAAAATGTTATATGTGCACTTATTAAACATAATTTAAATTCCTTTAATCAAGATATATGGCGGTTTGTTTATCTCTTTGAAGATCATTTGTGACTTTAAGTTTAAATCAACCGATGGATTAGGTACTATTTTATCGTGATATACGAACAACAAAAATGGTTTACTCTTATTTTTGTGAATGGGGGAAATGAAAATAATAAAGGGTTTTTGGTGGTGAAGTAGTGCATGAGAATCGTAAATTATTTAACATAAAAGAGCTACCAGAATGTTCGGCATCGGATAACGGCAAAAAGTGTCCGCTGTAAGCCAATTTACCTACAACAAAAAAAAATATAATTGACGATGTTGGTAGTGCATTTTATTTGACACATATCTTCATTACCGAATACAGAGTTTGTGTGCATAAAGACTTCGGAAAAGTGATTGTCGTTACGTTTACTACATTTAAATCGTCTACCCTGCTCTTCGAAAAGCAAGGTTCTTTGTATTTTTAGGATATTATCAGTCTGATTTTCAAGAGATAAACCAGGGTCTTTAAAGTCTTCACACCCTTTAAGTTTTTGACCATTGAATAAGCTACATCAAATAAAATCAAGTCGGGTCTTCTTGTTTTTTATAACCTCAGCAGCAGATAATCAGACCTTGTTTATATTCGAGTGCAGCCTGTCTATAATTTATGTCTCCACTAGGCGTAACCCTGATAGATGGCTTCTCCGTGTTCCCACAATGAGGACTAGATGGGTTCTTGCTCCAGCATACAATAACGGGGTGTAGTCCTTTTTTGGCCTATGAGTATTTTTGTTGTTCCACTCTCCGTAAAGCTTGAGGCAAATTGTGAACTAAAAATCATATTCAGTTATTTAGCAATCGGCTACATCTTACGTCTTAATATAATTCGGCATTTCTTAAGGAATGTAATCTTCTGTTATAACAATGTTTTGACCTGACATTGTGTGTTGTTAGTGTACTGGGTTAGGCAAAGAAAGAAAAAAAACACCGAAAGTGGGCAAAAAAAAAAAAAAAAAAAAAAAACCCCCCCCGATAGTGCACTTAGCACATCACTGTCATTTTAGTCAACCGAGAAACGGATAGTGCTCTTAGTCAGTAAAGACCGCGGAGTAAGTAGCCGACCGATTCAGGCGTTGTCTAATTCCCAAGACAAAACGTGACCGAAATTTGACCTCCACTTCGTTGCGGTAATTTCGACCTCCGTTTTGCATCGGGAATTAACCATTTTTTTTTTTTTTTTGTATTTACTTTTAGTGCTCTATCTGGACTTATTAATTGTTCTGTTTTATAATCTTAATTATACTTCTTATAAATACTTCCAATTAAATACATAGCATTTATTTTATAGACAGAATTGATTCGATATGACCCTTTAAATAATAAAAAGATTACGTATTTTTATTTATAAGGAAATTATTTCCCCCTCTTTTTTGTACTAATAAACCAGAAAACGGGTTGGATGTTATTTTTATTTTTATCTTCTTATAGCCTCTTTGTACTGGATAAGTGTACTATCGTTGTATTGTCAACATCTGCAATTATGGTAGTATGAAAACCCACTTTTATTTGGTTAAAACTGTCTTGTAAGTTTGATTTTTTTTACAAATCTTCAAAACATTTGATAGTAGGGGTAGGAAACAGAGTTACTAGTTTATTGTGAACCATTGTTAGATGCGCACATGGAGTGAATGCGACTTATTTAAAGACGGTTGACGATAAGTTTTTCCGAAAAGAATGATCACAAAAACATCCTATAAAAACAACGCTTAAGAATGTCTGGATATTTGTGGTATCATAATTGATGGTTTTAAAGAAAACGCTCTCGTGGATCCGCAACGCAGCCTTTTGTATCACATCATAGATATGACAATTATAAATATTAAAATTGAGGAATAAATGTCAATGCAAAAAAAGATATTTATTGTTGTTAAAGCTAAAAATAATAGTGGACTAAATTATTGAATAGCATCGATCAACTTTGAAGATGTTGAATTTATATCCATAGTTTTTATTCTTTTAACAATATATACGGAACCAATTTATTCAGAGATTGTTGTTTTATCCCATGCTAGTTGCTAAAAGATAAGTTGTTTAGTTTTATGTCGAATACAATGTGGAGGTAAATGAGAACTACGAACACTACAAAATTCAAAATTGTTAAAAAAGAAATGTTACGCCTTAGGCTGGATTCGAACCTAGGCCGGTTGAGACTTTACGTAATTTATTACCACCTCACTAAACCAAATATCTTTCTTATTTTGGATTTAAAAATATTAAAGGCGTTGTTTTAGATATTTTAAAAATCACGTGATATCCACGTGGAAGCTATCTTATAGGCTGGATAAATTAATCATAATTTTGAATGCAGTAAAAAATCGTAGGTTGGCTGAAGGAATTGTACTACACGTAGTTGGTTGTGTTGCGGTT